TCTGATTTACATGATGATGTCATACAAAATGCTGAACCTTTAATGCCCTTTATTAGGTACGGATATCTATGGAAAGCTTCTCCTAACTCAGCATAATTGGAGTACTGGAAAAACCAAATTATATATAAAGTCTATGTGCTTTTACACCCATACTTAATGCATGGACACTGCAAATAGGCCTAAGTAGCTGCATAAACACCGTGTGACAATACAGTGGGCCCAACAGCAGTTTTCTCCCTAAGGAAATGATGGAGACAGAGCAGGGATCATGGGAATCTCTTCAGACACTCACCAAGAACAGAGAAGGACCCATGTACTAGCCCTTGTCCCCTTCATTGGCCAGCTCATAACACCCTCTACTGAATGGAAAAGTCTGAAGAAAGTGTCTTTAACTTTTGAATGAAAGAATTTACATCTTCTGTATAACTGAGAACCTCTCCTGTGGAAGAGTCTAAGGATGCTAAGAAAGTTAAGCTGAATGCAAAAAAGACGGATGCCACTGAAGATCAACACATCACAGCAGCTAGTGCACAGAGAGGGCTTCTCTCTCCATGGGCTCTGAGAATGCGTCGAGCAGATTTAAGGTGTCTAAAGTCTTTGTTATGCTGAACTAGAAATCACAGATGGACTGAAAGGTGGCTAGGGATTGGTTCAGAGATGGCTTTATTAATCATGGGAGCCTTGAGGAAGGACTAATAAGTGCAGAAGGAATGATCTTGATAGATCTCCAAGAAGTGGAAGTTTTCTCAGAAATAAAAAGCAATAAGGTAGAAGACATGGGAAGAGACAATTGAAACAGACATTGGATAAGCTTGTGTTTAATAGGAGAGAGAGAGAAAAAGAAAGAAAGAAAGAAAGAAAGAAAGAAAGAAAGAAAGAAAGAAAGAAAGAAAGAAAGAAAGAAAGTTTAGACAAGGAAGATGTCTCAGAAAAGTGGAAAAAGGACTGGAACCTTGAAACTGATGCTGAGCACAATTTACACATTGTTCAGCATAACCACTTTGTTCTAAGGTCAGTGTCTCCAAATCATTCAAAAGCTAAAATAAATCAGTCAGTCTGAAAGCCAATTTCTAAGCCACATGCTCTTCATATTTTGTAATTTAACATGGTTAATTCAACAGATGAACAATAGATTATAATTTTAAAATATAAAATCATAATGTGCAAAATTAAATATTCAATATATAAAGAATAAAGCCAACAGATCAAGGATGAAAACTAAAATAGCAGTAATAGACAATTTTTAAGTTAGAACACAAATATTAATACAATCCTTAAAAAGAATATAATCCTTTCTTTAGACTGTCAGTGAATCCATGTATCTGACAGATGGACCAATAATATAGAGAGATGTATTTTTATTTTCACCTGTGTCACTAAATTATTGCCTAAAAGTACATTGGAAGGAATATGAACAATTCCAGCAACTCAACACCATTTCACCAACTAAGCAGGCTGTTTTATAGTTTGAATAAGCTTTATTTTGTAATTTGAACGAAAACTTGAGTATTTTTTTTTATATTTCTCATGAATGAACATGCATCTGTGAAAATAATCAGAAAGAAAAGCCAGAAATCAAAGCATGCTAATCATAGTCCTGCAGGCAAACTTTAAGGTGCATTCCTCCTGCTGAAAAAATCTGTGTTGTGCTTAGTTACTGCGATATTAGAATTGGAATTTTAATCTGTTCTGATTCAAGGAAAGTGGAACCATCTACCTGATCATGGTTGGTTTTGGAAGGTAAGCAGGGTTATCAGGCCTATAGGCTGGACTGGGACATTGAAACAAGATCCACAAAGAAGGCAGTGACAAATCACTTCCAAACTCTCTATTTCCTGGAATATACAAATAGAGCAAGATTGTTGCATACTGCAACTCAGGGAGGAGCAACTTCCACTGGTTGGAGGGCTACACTAGGTTTTGCATAGCATACCCAGGTCCCCACTCCAAAACTGGACATGACTAGGATCCAATCTGAGAAGAACCTTCTAGGAATGTTGTTAATGTTTGTTATGGGATAAAATGTTAAGGGATAAAATAAAATAAATGTTAGTGAGATGTAAGGCACCCATCCTCATCCATTTTGCAGGGACTCTGGAGATTATTTAAGGTACACTGATATGCCACATGGGCCTGCCCCCAGGCTGCACTTTTTACAGCCATGCTTGAAATTATTATATGAACAGATACAGAATGTTCCAATTTAAGACTAGAACACAGAAGCACATCCACTCTCTGTTTCCTACCCATGATCATAAAGCAGGTTATTTGTAGGCTCTGGGTTATTTCCATAATCAGTTCCTCCACTTAAAGTTATGATGATTGTTGGTTTTAATAGAGAATCAGAAATTGTAGTGAATCTCTAAGACAGCCTTTCCTACCTGCTGTCCTCTGAGAAATTCCAGCCTGCATGACCTAATGCATAATTAATTAATAAAAATAATTAATAATAAGCTGCAGTTTAGTTAGGTACCACTATATTAGGCTTGACTCTTAGCAACTGCATGGACAAACTTTCACCATCTCAGCCTGTCTCCAGTAACAAGCTGTTCCAAGGATATTCCAATGCAGTAATTTTGTGACCCCATCTGTTCACCTCATTCATTATCTTCCCTTTTTCTACTTCTCACAACTTTGCAAAGTGTAGTACTGTTTTCTAATTTACCATCTGCTCTCATCATGTGGCCAAAATATGTGAGCTTCTGCTTGCTGATCCTCACCTAAAGGAGGTGGTCATTCTTTATTTGCTCCTGGATGGAGTGATTGTAGTCCATGGTACTCATAGTAGTTATCTGATCTATAATTCATTTTTTTCCTATCTCCTTTTCATCACTCTTTCTCAATGTCCAACTTTCACAGCAGTACATTACAACCTGAAAGACCATAGCTTTAACTGGCCTGATCTATGGCGTCCACTTCTTCATGGACACATGGCGTCCACTTCTTTATAAGCTCACTAAGCCTATGCAAAGTAAGTGGGTTTCAGTGCAGCACTCAGGGCCATGGAGGCAACATAATTCATTTCACTGAAGTGACCCCCCCCCCCCAATTCACTGTCAGAAAGTTAACTTGGGTGGCATCAAATTGCTTCAGGCTAGCCAGGAAGTGAATCTTCTCAGATTTCTTTCCCAGCACTGCCCAAAGTGTTCCCAGCTGTGGCACACACCCAGCCTACAGCACACACCACAGCCACCCAGCCAGCCCACATGACAAAACATGTGTGGTGATGCCATGATATGAACTCTGCCTTATATACTTGCATCCTACATCTGACCAAGTATGGAAGTTGTGGATTTTGTGTCATGACATCAGGATGCATGTTTCGTTTCTTGTCCCCTATCCCCTGTGGATGTCTTTGCCTTCAGAGTGTGGCAAAAGGGCTATCCAGGCTGTTGAATTCTTGATAAGTGTAATAACCGAAGGAACTGCAAAGTTGATTCAGGCCAGCCTTTATTTGAATCAGGAGGAAGGAGAAAAATTTCCTGCTTTTTTGGGGGGGGGGTGGAATTTGAAAGAAAGGCAGTATGGGAGTTATATTCGGAGTTAGAGTTTCTCAGGACAGAAATGTTAATTACATCAACAACGAACAGTGGTACAGTTCCAATTAAGGCTGAAAGGACAAAGCTTAATACCTTGTGGGAAAAAGAAATACCATCAATAATTGCTGCAGGTATACTGTAGATCTCCATTTTGTGTTGGGAGAGGGCAATCAACTATTTGTATGTGTCTTATTCTTTATTCTGATAAGGCACAAAGAATAACAATCTACTGCCCAAGTTATCAAGAAGGATAATGTATCTTTTTTTCATGGCATTTCTGAACTGAGATATAAACTGTAATTCTACAGTCTGATTTGAACATTTGGCATTCTTTCATTTTTCTGTAAATGATTTGCACAGGAAAACATCCAAATGAATTGTGATGTATACAGTACATTCAGAAGACAACTCTATTGAACATCTCCATTACTAATACCGTAGCTTGTACATATCAAAATGGGAGAGTTGCTTTGAAGCCGTCAGGACAGAGTTTGAAGTGCCTATTTAAGAGCACATCTAACCTTTCAGTTCAAAATTAGTGGCTCACTTTGCTTAGAGAAAGATCAGCTACTACATTTATTAGTGGCTGGAAACCTCCTATGGACTTTTTGCTGAAAAAAGAAAAAATGAACATGTGATTTTTGGATCTGATGATTAGAAAGGGTAGGTTATGGAAAGAAGGAAATTATGATGTAACCTTAGAGAGGGAAGGTAGAATAAGAAATGCATTTATAGCTGCTGTTAAGAAGATCAGAAACCACTTCTTTGTAACCTTTTTTCTTTTTCTTTGTCTTTCTTTTTATTCCTTCTTTACTTATTCCTTTTCTTTATTCTTCTTACTTTCAACTTAAAATTTGTACTGTTTTTATTCTGTTGAAAACCTCTTTAATAAAAATTACAAAAAAAACAAAAACAAAACCAGCAGCTCACTACATACATGGTAAGAACCACGTTATGGCTTGGCATGACAGATGAGCCCAGCCTTTTCTGATTTGTAAATCATATTTTGCAGCTTAGACTGATGAGGACAATAGTTCATTCAATAAGCCACGCTTAAATTAGGATCTTACGCGAACCCAGACACATGGGTTTCCACTGGTTGTTTTTCGCCATTTCTTCTGCGGAAAAGCCCGTTGTCCATAAAAGTCTTAAGCATGAGCCATAATGGTGTAAAGAAAACGTGTACGTGGGTGCGAACAGCAGGACGAGGCGGGACGGTGGAACCAAGTTCCCAGCCGCCTCAGCTCTTCCGAAGGTGAGGCGGGGCAGCTCTTGGAAGCATTACGGTATCGCCTGAGCCCTTCCTAGCTCTGTGCCAGGAGCGCGGGGGGTGGGGGGAGGAGGGGTTTCCGACGTGGCAGCCGCTCAATAGGAGCGCAGAACGCCAAGCGCATCAGCAAAGAGAGGGCGGGACTAGAAGTGCCAGGGTTGTTCTAGAAAGCGCGGAGCTGTGTTGCGTGTTCTTAGGCGAGCCGCGGTCGCCGCTTCTTCCTAGGCGGGACGGGATCAGGGTACACCTGTGAGGCTCCTCGTACGTTGCTTTGATGCCGACCATCGTATCGGCAGGGCGGCATTTGGTGCTTCTTAGCCTCTGCCATTCTTGGAGCTGTGCTGCTCCCGCGCTCCCCCAGCTCTGCCCGCCTGCTTCTTGCTCACACCTCTCCTTGCTCCTAATTAACCGCCTCCCGCTAGACTGTGACAGGCGCCTTCTTTCCCCCCCTCCCCCGCCCTTACGCGCGAAGCGCGCCTCACCGCGCAATCCTATACATGCCTAGCGAGCAGTAAGACCCACAGAGACTTACGCCCAGGAAAGTGTGTCTAGGATTGCGTCCAAGGCCATCCCTGCATGGCTCCTGCGACCACCGCATGGCAGGTATAGGAACATGCGCCCGCGAAACCCGAAGCTGCCGGCAACGCGTTAGCCTCGTAGGCGCAGTGGAGAAGCGGCGGGTCTGGGAGTGACTTCATCGCTGGCCCAGCTGCAGCCTGGAATGTTTCCACGCCATAATAAACTCCTGCTTAACTTGTTTTCAGGTACAGGCCAGAGGGCAGACAAGGCGAGCACGGTGGTTTCTGCAGGTAACGCTTTGAAACGCTCACCGGGTGACGTCTGGGGGGAGCGGGTAGGAGGTGGGAGGGCGGGGTGAGAAGCGGCGGCGAAGAAGAAGAAGGCATCGTTATTAAGAAAGCTATTTCTGGAAGATCCGTGGCCGGGGAATGTTGGTCGACTTGTGGGTGAGGTCCAAAGTTTGAGAAAACTTGGCCTTCAGCTATGCGGGGGCAGGCTAAGTTCTGCTGCCCTCGAGTGAAAGTGGTTGCTCCTCTTCACCTTCCTGAGGGAAAAAATGACTTAATGGAGTGACAACCCCACTGTGACCCATCCTGTAGTTTCGAAAGCTTCCTCGGCTGTAGTCGTGTGCATCGGCACGTAGACTGGAATTTTCAACCTGCTACATCACAGAAGGTGGCACCTTTTTGGAACAGGGCGGTGGGGGCTCTCTGGCCCTGGTGGGGTGTGGAAAAGGCCAAGTTTCAGGAAGGCCCTGCTTGACTAAAGGTGGAGCCAAGCACCGAGTGGTAGTGAGAAGGGTAGAAAAGAAGTGGTTCTCTTTATCTCTCAGCTTATGAAGGATCTTCCAGCAGGCAGGCAGCCAAATGATCTTGCACTTGTAGCAATTCCTGACCTAAGAAAACAGTAAAGGCTGCAGATTTATCAACTACTTCTTAGGGAAGAGAGGGGAATTGAGAGCAGTGGCTTCCTCTTTAATGGTGTTTTCTCTCTGCCAGTTTCTCTGCCAAAATAAGGCACTAGAGAGATCCTGGTGCCATAGCAATACAAAGGTTCTGCCTTGCACTGCTTTACTTATTCATTCATTATGCTTAATCTGCCCAGTAATGAGCAGAGTTAAGGGCTATTCTAAGTTAGACACTGTACATATACATTATGTCTCTGTGTTTTTTGTAGGGGAGTGTCAAAAGTGAAATTAGAGGGGGAATGGAAAGCCAAAAATCCTGGCAAAAACAGACTGGTGTCCTTTTCTTATATAGCTCTGAGGTGCTTTAGAGAGAGTGTCTGTCGCATTAGGATCTCCCAAGTAGGATATAGAGCAGTGATTCTCAACCTTAGCAACTTTAAGATGTATGGACAACCCCCAGAATTCCCCAGTCAGCTGAAGAAGTCCACACATCTTCAAGTTGCCAAGGTTGAGAAACATCAGAGACACGATTCTGGCTTAACATGATGTGTGCAGCCAGCTATGGTTAATTTAGTGAACCATAATTAAAGAACCATGGCTTAACACAGTATGCAGCCAGATGCAGTAAACTACTCTATGCAACAGTGTTTTGGCTAGCGAACGTGGAGATTTCAGGTTCACCTTATGACTCCATTACATATCTCCATACAAACAATTTGCAGCACATCGGTACCCAGCCAAGGCTAATCTGGTCAGTAAATTTCTCAGGCCTAAATATTGGCTATGGAGATATAGGCTGCATGCAAGACGGTGGCTTTAATGACATTTGGGGGAGAGGACCGTTTCACTGTGCTATGAGATACCACATTCTCTATCCCCATTATGACCACCTTTTTGAGGTCCAGAAACTGGAATGTCTTCCAGAGGACACGTCTCACTGTCATATTTATACTTTTCCTTTCCTCCAGGACTTCTACATTCCAGAGCATGTGGAATCAGGATTAAAAATCAGCAGTGTCAGCTCCAAAGCAAACAAAAAATTATTAAGAAAAACTATTGTTGTAAAAATTATTTGTTTATGGGACTTCCGTTAATGGGTGGAACTCAAAAGGGTTTTTGGGGTTTTTTGGTGTGTGTGCCTTCGAGTCACTGTTGACTTCTGGCGAGTATCTGGACTACTCCCTGCAGTTTTCTTGGCGAGATTTTGGAAGTGGTTTACCATTGCCTCCTTCCTAGGGCTGAGAGAGAGCAACTGGCCCAAGGTCACCCAGCTGGCTTTGTGCCTAAAGTCTCCTGGTTTCTAGCCTGATGCCTTAATCACTACACCAAACTGGCTCTTGGAATTCAAAGTAGCTAATAATTAATGCACTATTAAAGCCTTCTTATGAACTTTGTAAGATTACAGGTTTCTGAATAAAAATATCCCTTTCCTTTGATTGTGGTCTACGTAGTTTAGCACATTGATTATAAATGTTAGAATCCTTAAACTAGCTCTCCATCAAAAGGCCATGCTTTGGAATCAAATGAAAAGGAGGGTTTTCATTTATTCCAAAGCATTTATCCCATCATTGTTATAAGCAATACCTAAAGGAAATACTGTAGTAACTTGAAATTTTGAATTTAAAGGGATGTCTGTAGAAAATAGTTTCTAAATTATGTATTCTCATTAAACACAGTGGTGGTTCATTAATGCTGAAATTTGTATAATCTAAAAAGCTGAATAAGATAGGGCACATTTTTTGGTCTGATTTCAGTAGAAGAATTAGACATACTTATATAGCCAACTCTTTTCCAGAAAATACATTTGCATATTGGTTCATTAATGTCCTGAAATGCCTTTGGGGCTTTCTTTTTTTGAATGAAATGTGTGTTTAGTAAAATATGATCTGATAGATTGACTGAAAGTAATTCAAGTACAATGTAAGTTTGCATTATGTACAGTTTCAAACTCTGGTGTAGAGGTTCTGCTTTAATAAAAACAACTTTTGACTAGTAAGCAAATATGCAAATCGAAACCATATTCCTTCCTCTTTATTTTGTTGATTCCTCCTGACCTCAGTCTGTTCTCCTCTGAAACCCCAAATCATCAATTCTGTCACTTCTGACTAGATATACCATATCCCAACTGCAAAAGTCTAACTAGAGTATTCCATGTCTCTCCTGTTACCTCTCCTATTACCATATGCATTTTTGCAGCTCAGATGCAGTACTGTATGTGTAATCCTACTAATGTAATGCCCTAATTGGTATTTCAACATATGCACAGAATAAATATTTTTGCCACCTTGTGATTTTTGGTTAAAACTGTGTTTAACGTATCACAGAGTTAAAAGTGGAAGCTGTAGAGAAATTTTGCCTTGATGTGTGCCACATTTTAGACTTGCATGAGCAGTCAAAGAGCAGCCGAGGCTAAGGCATATTTTTTAAAAAGTTTTGGCTTAATGTGAATCTAGGCACTGTGATTTGTAAACCGTGGTTTATGCTTAGCATACTGTTGGAACCTAGTCAGTTTTGATGATTACGATCAAGGCTGTCTTATAGCTGAGGTGATTGTGGCATTCTTCTTTGCATGACAATCGGAACGTCATTGTTGTATATTTGATGTTGATGCACACAGATTCAGATGAAAATTATCCTTAATTTTTATGAATGATTCAGTGGTTCTCCTCTCTTTTAGCTTGTTTGCTGTTCATAACCTAGAGGGAGAAGACAATTTTCCTTGATTTTGAATGACAAGTTTCTGAATGATCAGGAAAAGATTCAAAGCAGACTTATTTCAGCTAAGATTTCCTTCCAAAGTTTTTACAGCTGGGATTTTAGAATGGTTTTCAATATGGTCTTTTTGAAAATATTTTAATATTCCAAAGTTATTTATAGATATATCTGATAGGATGTTGCATATTAGCATTCTGGACTGTGACCAACAAGTGCAGTTGCATGTCTGCTTCTCCAAAATTTTAACTGGCTCTAGATCAAGAAGACAACCTAGCTTCCTTTTCATGTTTGCAGTTTGGATTGAACAGGTCTCTTCATATATTTGTCCTAGAGCTTTTCTCTTGGGATAAGAGAAAGATAGAATAAACAAATTTAAAGGCATCAGAACAAGAACTCATTGCGGTTTTAAAAAGTCTTTCAGAACTAATCCCAATGTTAGTGTTTTTAAAACTGCATAACCAAGAAATCACAAGGTTACTAACTTTATTAAAGTAAAGGAAACTCATAAGATTATTGATATATGGTGCCACTGTACTCAAAAAAGCATTTGAGACACCACATACCCTCATATTGCTATGAAAAAAGCACAAAAGGATTAAATGTTTGTTTAACATTTAGTTGTTTAATTATTTGCAGATGCACATTAAGCTTTTGGCATGGGAGGTGGTGATGCAGGCATGTGGAAGGGATGAATGTTTAGAGATGTAATATTCAAATCTGGAGCAAGAAGCCAGCTGGAAGGCAGTTATCTTTGGGGAAAGAGGAACATTTAGTAAGGCTCTTGGCTTTAAGAGATTAGCACCGTTATTTAGTTTTAGTAAGAATTGTGTGTGTGCTGCCAAAGAGCTTATGGATTCTAAAGACTTTGGGAAAGGCCTGTACCTTCTGAGGATCAAAGAAAATATAGGTGATACTCCTTTCATGTTATGAACAGTTCCATGCAGGGTCTTCACACTGTTTCACAATCAGCTGTGGACCTGTGTGATCTCACACTGTTATTTGTTTTTGGCATCTAAGATGACTTATTTTTAGCTTGGCAATTGTGCATCTAAAATTTCACCAAAATGACCGTTCTCTTTAACAAGCTACAGGCTCTCATCTCATCCATCTCCTAATCCTGAATTAAAGTTTAGCTGCTGTAGCATCAACTCAGAATGCTGTTCTTTCCATTTTAAAAGTATAACAAAGAAGACAGCAGCTCAGCAGCCTTGCAGCTCCCTCTCATAGCACCTGCTTGGATTTTTTTTTTTTTTTTAAGAAATCGCCAGTTAAATGTACATAGTCCAAACTAAGAATGTGGATGGAGGATTGGGCACTCTTGAGTGGCATTCTTCATATTATTTTATTGGCCAGCTAGAGGGAATACTGTAGTAGAAATTATTGTGAGTCAGGTGTAGACTGTTTTAAGGGACTGGGGAGTAGTAGTGTAGAAATGTTTGATATCCTTAGAATAACATACAATTAGCACTATACCAGCACCATTTGCCTCAATGGAAGGACAGATAAATCTGCAAAGTGTGAAATTGTTTTTTATATAGCAGACATTTCTTCATGGATTCAATATTGATCACACCCCTGAAACCAATATTGTATGTCATCTATGATGTCAGGCCTGGCATTTGTCTAAATAGGGATGATTTTATTGTGTAGCGCATAGTTGTATGTTTA